CCCTGTGGCAACCCGGGGCTATGCCCTGTGGCAACCCGGGGCTATGCCCTGTGGCAACCCGGGGCTATGCCCTGTGGCAACCCGGGGCTATGCCCTGTGGCAACCCGGGGCTATGCCCTGTGGCAACCCGGGGCTATGCCCTGTGGCAACCCGGGGCTATGCCCTGTGGCAACCCGCATATTAATCATCAGGTAAACCTGACGATTAATATGCGGGTTGCATATAAATTGGAGTGTAAATAGATATATTTTATTTCTATAATTCAATTCTTGAATAAATGATTGAAAATACATTACAAAATTTTTTGGTTTGCATTTTGTCCTAACATTTTTGTCAAAGTAAACTTTGACGATTAAAGTGGGGTTGCTTTTAATTGCTATAAAATGGTGTTTTATATCTCAGGAATTCAATTCTTGATGAATTGGTTGAAGTTTAAAAAATATTATAAAATTAATTTTGCATTATGGGCAGGAGTTTTCATATATGAAAATTGCTGTGAAGAATAATCATTTTACTATTTTTGATAGAATTGATTACCTAGTTTTTAAAACAAAAACCTTTTTTTACAGAGATAGAATTTTGTTAAATTAGATGTGATTTTATATCGAATATTCTAGAAACTACAGTATTACTCTAAAAATATACCAAATTTATAATAGAATAATTTATTCTATTATTGATTCAAATATTGATTGATTTATTTATTCATTTATTCATTAATTCATTGATAAAATGATGTATTCTATTCTTTCAATGACATGTATTAATATATTTATTAAGTATTAATTGATATATACCTTTATATTCAATCTTTTTGAATTAATTCATTTATCAATCATAGATTCCAAAGTAAATGAATCATATCCAGTCATATGAGTCGAACAAAAAAAGTAAACATTTATTATTTTCAAAGCTGAATCACCGCTATTTACAATTGTCATTGATATTTGGAGATCTGCTCTAAATGTTATTGTTCGTTACATTTATAAAATTCTATTGTTATTATTCTAATAAATAATATTTCCAAAGGTTGTTGTTGTTGTAGTTGCAGTAGCGGTAGCTGTAGCTGTTGCTGTAGCTGTTGCTGTTGCTGTTGCTGTAGCTGTTGCTGTTGCTGTAGCTGTTGCTGTAGCTGTTGCTGTAGCTGTTGCTGTTGCTGTTGCTGTTGCTGTTGCTGTTGCTGTTGCTGTTGCTGTTGCTGTTGCTGTTGCTGTTGCTGTCGTTGTTGTTGATATTGAATATATCTTTTTGAATGTAATCTTCTTTAAATATCTGTTATCTAAATTTATAATTTCCTAATAATAATCAATAAATGTTAGTAAAATTCTATTAATTAATATAAATTATCTTACTGTTAATCTATTTGAAGCTATTTAAAGATTGTTGGCGTCTATATTTGTAATCCAAATGTAAATGATATGAAACATTCGATCTCGCTTGTTCGATAGTGACCATATCTTCTTGTCAGATGGTGGTGGTGGCTGCATTAACTTTGATCAAAGTGTTGGTGTATGTTTCACCTAATAGGTAAGCAAAGTAAGCTTTAGAACAACAAGTTGTACTTGATCAATATCATTTCCATTGCTTGTCGAAATAAAATCTATTTATAAACTAACTTGACTCTCTAAATGATTGTAATGTATATTAGATCATTGCAATATATAAAAATGTTTAAAAATATAAATTTACATACCTCAATAGCACACATTGGCTTTGTGTAGCAGACCCGTCTCCAACTGTACTTTCTTTGGCATCGCTGAACCCTCTGTCTTGATAATCATGATGATCATACTATTAATTGGTTGTACTTGAAATGCATTACTATTGCAATAGTTCTTTCACTCTGATAGTATCTTTAATCACGTTGATCCTTGTCATGATTTAGCCAAGGAGTGGAACACTGTATCTATTAATAAATGAAAATGAGTTTGTTAGTTTAGTTTAGCATTATAGGAATGAACATTATCTCAATATTACTCTTCAATATGTATCTTTTTAGAACAAAAAAGTAAAGTTGGCAACAATATAATAGACTTACAATACTGAAATCATTGAATGAGCTAACATTTGAATTGAATCTTATAACTCATTACTTTCTTATATAATTATTAAATTCTAAAGCGGTAACTTCTTTTAAAATTATAAAAAAAATAAATATTGATATTATTATTACTATTGATAACGATATCTCAAGATCTAAAATGAGAGTAAAAAAAAAAAAAAAAAAAAAAAACAATTTGTTGATCATAAACACTGAACATCAAAAGTATTATTTTTTTATTTTAATTGTTAACAACAAATTACAATCATTCATCACTCAACTATAGCTTTATAAAACAAAAATTAGCATATTTTTATTTACCTCTATTATCATGCAAACTCCTGTAAAGATAATTTAAAAGGTTAGTTAACTTTTATTCTTATTTAATCTACACTCTATCTTTACTGTTTTTTATTCAATATAATATCGATTTAACTTGTTCGTAGACAAAATACAATATTAATAATGATTCATACAAATTGGATTACCAAATATTTAAACTTTAACATATAAATACACACCGACAAAATAATCATTTATAATAATAATTAAATTAAAATAGAAATTATATCAACTATCGATGAAGCATAAATTACACAATTATTAAAAGTAACATAACAGAGAAACCTATACTTTGATTATACAATCCTATACACTAATGATTTCAAGCTACTGAATGTCATCACGATTATTCACACTTTATCTACAATGGGAAGTTGATTCTCAATTCAAATAGCTCATTTTATGCATTTATTTATACATTTCGCTTAATCATTCATTAGTTTCCCATTCATAGACATATATTTATTTTTTTATTTATAAGTCCTATACAATTTCAATAAATTAAATACTATACTATCATTTATTAATTGATTTTCCAATATTTTTAAACTTTAATGATTAGAATAATATGTTAATCATACAAACAAATATTCGAGACATTTTTGAATTCTTTGAAGGTTCTTTTAATAAAACATCTGCTCCACTTACAACACTTACTGTGCTTGAAGAACATATTTGATCTTTTTGTTGGCACGAATACAATCTTTTTCTAATCTAGAGATGACAGTTTGGTCACAATTAATCGATTAAATCATTATAGAAACTCTGGACAGTGATGCTATTCCTCTACTATCTACTTTTCAAACCTCAAATAAGAAGCATTGAAAACCTCTTCTATTATTTGGTATGTATTGTTAAAATTATTTATTTATTTATTACAAATGAATAACTAACCAACTAACCAACTAACCAACTATAGCTAACAAGAGAATCGATGAACTCGTGGTGAACGAGAGATGCAATGATATCAAACAGTGAGGTACATGAGGTGCTAAAGATAATACGATTGAGACATATGAGAGTGAGATATCAAAGAATATAAGTATCTAATGGAGATTAGCAGTGTTATGTTGACTACTGCCTATGCAATGCACTCTCTGAATAGTAGTAGTGCCTTTACTAACGTTAGTAGTAATAAATGATTCCATAAAAGTAGTCCCAGGTATCCTCCAAGGTTTTACATGCATTATGTACAATTAATTTCAATAGATGTGTTATATGTTATCTTGGAATCTACTTTGGACAAGGAATCATCTTAACCACTACGATATGATAGAGGAGGATCATTACATCTTATTCAAACTATCTTCACAACACAATTATCTGAAGGTGAATTTATTTACTTCATTTAAAAAAATTCAAAATCAAAAATATCTTTTTTTTCTTGAATAAACCTCTAATGACAATGATTTGTTTATTTTGAGTTTTTATTTATTCACTTCATTTCATTTTATTTCTATTCAGCTCACAACAATTACTATTTCTTCATCTTCAATACTCAAACTACATCATTATCACTTTCTATACTATCTTTTCATCTTTCATTGTTACTCATACACTCTCATCCTTATCTTTCAATTCATTCTCCTTTACTTTATCCATCTATATATTATTCTTTGCTGTTTCATAATGTCGCAACAACAACACCCACCGTTCACTTGTTGGATAGAGTTTAGTAATAAGAAAGACAAACTCACCTTCGAGAACACCGCCAACTATAATCGTCTCATCCCTGTCATTAGAGGTTCCAAACAACTCGCTGTAGGTGACGGTTCTATCGATTTGTTCTCTGATGCAGCCAAGACCATTCAACTTGATGTTGAGACTCCAGTCGATAGGAATCTTCAGCGAATCTATGTCGCCACCACCCAACCACAGCAAGGTAAGTACATCTACCTTCAAGTCTACAAACCAACCACCTATGATACTAACCAGCCCACTCCTCATATTCTCCTTCTCCCTTTTGTTATCTTGTCTTGTACGATATTTACACTTTCTTCTTCTCCTTCTCTTTCTTCTCGCCTCTACGTTTCCTACATACACACACACACACACATATACATACATACATACATACATACATACATCTACATCAACAACACTATTACCTATCAAACCTAAATATCCTTCCGAACTCTCTATATAACTATATAACCTCTTTTTCTACCTTTTCATTCTCTTTTTTCTTTTTATCTCTCTCTTTATCTCTCTTTCACTACTTAAATCCTTCTATTCAACTCTTTTACATACCACATATTTCCTCTAATTTGTATTTAATTCCTCTATTCATTCTCTCTTTCTCTTTCTCTCTCTCTCTACCTACATTTTACTTTTTTTTTTTCATTCCTCTTGTTTGTAACAATCATACTCGTTATCATTTTTAGTCATAGATAGAATTACGAAATTCTCAGTCAACGGTGCAATTTTACCACAAGATAGAAACACAACATACTTTTGGATTGACACAAACACGGATGAACTAATTAAACAAATTCGATCTGGACTCTATATATGTATGTATGCACCAAGGTCCTCTGGCAAGTCAACCATAGCCTATAGAATAATAGAGTTACTTCGTAATGATTACATTCCCATAGTGTATGTAAATCAAAGTATTGATTAAGAATAATCCTAATAATTTTCTAGATTATCTTTCGATAGAAACTACATATTTGATACACCCCAGTCTTTTTGGACATCATTTGCACGCGATTTAACACTTTCAATGAAGCTGGCAACTCCGATTGATGGATTGGATGGAGTTTTATATTTTTTTGCAAAAGGCTTACCTCAATTTCAAAATAAAAAAGTTGTACTATTTATAGATGAATTTGATACCATATTTCCCGATCAGATGTATGAAAGAAATGATATGGAATCACCAGTTCTCAACTCTCTTTTGACACAACTCAGGGCTTGGAAGCAGACATTGCCAGAACTAAAAGTATTACATGTAAGTGTATATCTAAACATAATATTGCCACCATACTCACCAAATACCAAGTCAGTTATATCGGTAGGAACTTTCTCACTTTTAGAAATGACTACAACTAGAATATCTCCCTTTAATACACCAAATTCACTTGAACTGTCATCATTCACCTTAAATAATGTCTCCGATCTATTTGGCCTCTATTCGAAGTATAGTGGAGTCAGTTTTCCTCGTCAAGTCATCTCATCTATATATTCCTTCTGTAGTGGGTATGTACATCACTTTGCAACAATAGACTATATACTTACTACCTTTTTGCTTCAAGGCACCCTGGATTAGTTAATTATTGTGGAAGAATTATTCAAACAATTTGCGCAAAAAACAAAACTACATTTGACGATTCCGATTGGACGATGCTTTCAACTGTTGGCATATTTAAAGAAGTTAGATCATATGTAACAATTCGCCAAATGTGTGTACATCTCAACTCAAATGGACCCTTCTTTGAAAATGTTCGAAAGGCCTTGGCTAGTTGTGTGATGTCTTATCCTGATTTTGTAGAAAGCAACAATGAAAATGAAAAATACTTTCACTACCTAACGGCTGAGGGATTCTTAACAGGTACGAAATTTAACTCACGTATGTCATAAAACCCTTCTTACTCACCTATCTTTTTAGCATTCGAAGACAGATATTGTATTAGATCAAAATTTTTGAAAAATATTACTTGTTTCTTTAGCAACTTGAGAAGTAGAGTTGATGGTCGCATCGCAATTCCATTCAAAACGAAACATCTCGAACAAATTGATGTCGTTTCTCTTATTATAATCTCCCTCCAACAAATCAGGAAGGATATCATTATAGATACGAGATCACTCAAGAAGAATCGCTCCAATGGCTATCAAAGGGATGCATTGGTCCCTTCTGAGTCTGTTTACCACTTTGAAATCTACCAACTCATTGCCCATCAGTCAAACTTACCCAATATTATATACCCTGAAATCACCTCGTCTTCAGATGATAATGCAGACAGAAGAGCTGACATGTTTATCAAGTATAGAAATTGGTCAGTAGTCTTAGAGTTGGTCGCACATCAAAATCCAAAAGGAGTTGAAGCGCATCTTGACTCTGCACTCGAGTACAAAAATCGAACAAATGCTGATGAAACTTGGGTCCTTAACTTTACCTGTGGCCCCATAGACACACAAATCAAATCAAAGAGCGGTGTTGGGCTCATTCATGTCTGTCATAGTAGAGACTATTCAGCTGTCAATGTACAGGTTCATTACCCCAACCAAGATATTGGAAAAACATACCACGACACTCGTCAATACCCTGTTAGTATTTTTGATTGATAGTATGAATACTACTACAGTTTGATCTGGTATGGTGAATTAACTATCACAGGTCACTCTATTCAATCCTTTAAAGAAGTTTGAAAATAATCATCTTTCAATATAATAATAAAACAAAAACACTACTATTATTATATCACAAACCAAAAATAACCATCTATACACATTACATCTTTATTTCATATCCACATTACCCCCATTACCTAGTTATCAAAAATAAGGTTTGGATAGGACGTGCTGTGATATTTGAATATATGAAATTTAATACTAAATTATTTTGAAATTTCTTAAATTGAATAATTAATTATTAATTATTTTGTATTGAGAAGCTAGAAACTCTTAGAATATTAATCAACTTCTCAATCTTATCTCGAGAAGGATTTGATAACATTTTCAACGAAGGATAAACGACCCAAAATTGACATTAAAATCGATTTTGACCACCACCTGACATCAAATTACCAATAAAAAACTTTTGAGGGTCTTGCTTTGCTATGTAACGAACTAAGTAATTCTTATAAAATTCATTGAATGCAAAGTTTAAAGAAGAAGAAGGGAAATATCCAATACAACGGTTAAGATTAAGAAAAAAGGTTGTAGGTTTAGGATCCCAATTATTTCTTAGAATCTTTAACCTTCTCCGTATATAAAAGTATACTTTGTCACAGGTTGTCAAACTAGAATAAATAACAATGATTTCTCTACTTCCGTATTTTGGTACATAGCTGTTTATTATAATAAATAAAAAAAAAACAATTAGTTTGGAATATATAATAGTTTATATACTATTTAGTTACCTTAATGTTGATATTTCAAGCAACAGAGTGATAAAAAATCGGTTACAGATCATTAGAAAGATGAATCCGATCAAAATATTAAGAATATACAATTCACAATCAATTCAAACTTCATCCGATATTTTGAAGAACACCCTTTGACACCAACCAACTTCACCTATCAAACTAATAACAATGTAAACAACGAGAATTACAATTCAAATAAACAATTATAAATAAACAATCTAAATAAGTTTTTTTATTTTTGTTTGAGAAAGTAGAGTTGTTGAACGTATGATTTTAATTGTAACAACAGTTCCTTTAATAATGGGTGTGTTTGTTGTGGATACTCTGTATTGTTTAAAGATCGAAACATGGGAAAGAACTGTTGTTGTTGTTGTGGGCTCAATCATCATACTTCGAACTTGGTATTGCTTCCAATACTCCATAAAATTTCCAAAAAGCTTCACCACACCGTTAACTTTCTTTTAAAAAAAAAAAAAAAAAAAAAAAAAAAAATCCATTATAATACATTTTAAATCATCTTTATTTTTATAACAACAATCGAACAAAGTTGTAAACAAACAAAAGAATGATAAACAATCTACCTCACATCATAACTAGACATATTCTTTCTTTTGTCGACTCACCATTCGATAAGATATGTTTTGTGTTAGCAACAAAGCGACTATATGAAAATAGAGAGCGATTCCTCTACTTTGATGCATCAAACCTAAAGACTCAACACATCGGATATCATCACCTGAAATCTTTTCGAAAAAACATCACACAATCGATTTGTGATAGAGATTTAAATTTAGTATGGCCACCAACTCAAAACGAACCAAGTGAAAGTAGATTCGACTCACTTGATCATAAAACATGTAAGTCAAAAAGATAATAATTAATTTCTACTAATTATTAATATATTGTTTATTTAAATGACTCACTAGTATGTTTTAGTATTGACTCTATTCCAAATGATAGTAAAGTATCTATTACTTTTATAATCTATCAACAAGTTAAAGATGGACTTGATATTTTTAAAGAGATGCTCAGCACAATCAAAGGAATCATTGTAAACATTGATTTTGATTGTTTGAAATTCAGTACAGCAATTCCACCCGGTCTAATTCCCAAGACTGTAAAACAAATCAATTTAGGATCACACTATGACTTTCCTTTGGAGGAAGGAATACTTCCCGATGGTCTTACTCATTTGCATCTAGGACAAGTTTTCAACCAACCTTTAAAACCGGGTGACATTCCACAGTCTGTCCAAAGACTAACACTTTCCAACCAATTCAATTTAAATATTGAAGCAGGACAACTTCCATCTTCTTTGATTAAACTTACAACAGGCTACGGTAATAGATTGTCTTTTGGTAAAGATTCACTGCCATATGGTCTGAGAAAGTTGGTACTCCGACATACTTTTAATTATGATGCCAGCTTGGTGTTGCCAGCCTCTGTTACTCACCTTTCTTTAGGCTCAACAAATAACAAACTGCTCCCAGGAAGCATTTCACCGTTTATTACCAGCCTTACACTGCCAACCTATTATTCGCATAGTTTGGATGCAGATGTCATTCCAACTTCCTGTACTCGCTTGAGAATCCATTCTCTCCAGAAAACTCTTGAACCTCGAGCACTTCCTGAATCAATCGATACTATATTTTTTGGACGTGATTATAACGATGTAATAAGAAAGAAAGTACTACCAAACTCTCTGACCTACTTGAATCTGGGAGTTGCATTCAACAACGAACTAGTTCTCCCAAAAAAACTAAAATATCTAAGATTCTCTAGTAATTTCAACCGTGAACTAGAGCCAAATCAACTTCCAAACTCATTGAGAACATTAATTTTCGGTATGGAATTCAATCAACTCATTGCACCTGGTATTCTCCCACGTGGACTTACAACACTTCAATTTGGAATCAAATTTAATCAACCGATTGGTGTTGGTGTGCTCCCTTCCACTCTTGAAACACTTATACTTGGTCCAAATTTTAATCAACCATTGGAGCCGGGTGTCCTTCCGGAGGGATTGCAGCGTCTTGAATTTGGAGATAGATATAGTTTAGCTCTTGTCCCCGGTGTTATTCCTAGTTCAGTGACTGAGTTGGTTCTTGGTGAATTTTTTGGTCAAATGCTTATTGGCGAGGGTGCAATCCCCGATACTGTCACATATCTCCGTGTACCATCATTCCAATCGAAATACCTGTTATCCTCACCAACACGAAAGATTCATGTTCAACTAACTAAACCAAACTTTATCCCAATGGAAATTAGAATGGTCGATGAGAACACTCTTTTAGCTATAGACAAGAAATTATTTGGTGGTTTTCTATCAATCGAAAACATTGATCATCTACGCGACCACATATTCCGTTATTGGACATCACATAAGATTGCTCAACTTAAACAGATCCATATTTAAAATATTTTATTATTGTAACATATAAAAGCTTTTTTGAACATATAAAAATAAAAAATAAAAAATCAACATTCTAACTAGATACCTTTTATTATAATGCTGATTTTAATAAAAGATTGTTGATTAAAATCATTCCCAGGAATTTGATTCTACCCCTATCAAAAAAATTTTAACATTTTGATATCAATTTTGGTTAGCAAAGATTTTTGGCCAAAAAGTTTCCTATGTTTGGAAGAATAAGAAAAAAATAAAAAAAAATTTTACCAAAACTAACACTTCTTTTTTATTTTTTAATAAATACAAATAATTTTATTTTAAAATCACTCACTTTTCTACAAATAATTTTATTTTTAAATTTACTTACTGTGCTCTTATAATAATGACAATAAACTATTCTGTTAAATTAAGTAATGTTAAAGCATTAAATTTAAGTTTAAATAATGATACAAATACTGCAATTGATCCATATATAAAGGTAAATATCAAAGTGGCAATACTACTCGAGATTGAGATTCTTATTAATATATGGTTAAACTTTATAGTTTTATTTCGATCAAAATAAAAAATTTAAAACAGAAACATTGGCAAAGACTTTGAATGCCAATTTCAAATTTGAAACATCATTCATCTATCATACAAAAGGTGAGAAGTTGGATGGTAAACACTTTGAGATAGAGGTGTACGATGCACATATCATTGGTGCAGACAAGTTTGTTGGTGGATTCTCAATTGATTATACCAACATTATCAATGGTCCCATTCATCACCGTATTGTCATCCGTAACCAAGGCAAACCAAATGGAACAGTCGAATTTGACTTGGAGATGGCTCAGCTTAACGAAACTTTGCTCACAATCAAATCTATTCGTGCAAATTTCTATCCTGGTGCTCTTTCGCCTATGGATGCACAAGTTGAGAAATTCCTCTCATACAGCATCCACGACCCCCTTAAGACATCGTCAGCCGATCGTGAGAAACGACTGTTAAAGTCTAAGCGAACCACCCAAACTACATGGGATGACGTTGACCAGATTATAGTAGAAACAACACTCCAACAACTCCTTGCCAATCCACTGGTTTTCACTGTCCATCAATCTCGTTCCTATAATGCCACGACCGACCCTGCATACGGACAGGCCAATATCACCTTGCGAAACTACGTAAGTGATATCTCACACATAGGTGACAACTGCAAGATTGGATTTGTCGAGCCCATTCTCCACCAGCAAATGGTTGTCGGTGCTATCGAAGGAGATGTCTTCTTCCACAATGCTCCACTCACCTGTCAGATGCTGGGTGGTGTTCACACCGACGTTGGAATTCAAGATGGTCAACCATTCTTTAGTCAATTCAAACCATTAATTGATAATAACAATAGTAATCGTACAGAGACTGTAGTGACAGCTTCATTACCAAAAGAACCAGAGGTTCTCCCAGCAAATTGGGAGAAAAGAGTTGCTCCCGATGGTTCGATATATTATGTCGATCACGCCACTAAGACCTCACATTGGAGCTTGCCAACAACAACTGTTTCATCAACACCAAGTGTACCCATTTCAATTTCATCGTCGGTACCAACATCCAGTCCAATCTCAATCACCTCACAAGCAAGTTCATTACCATCGATCTTGCCAAACCAACAAACAGTTTCACCAACAACTCCAAATACCACACCAACTTCAACAACACCTGTACAGCAAATTCCACAACAACAAACCATTCAACAACCAAAACAACAACCACAGCAACCACAACAACAATTTATTCAACCAATACAACCAATTGCTCCAACACAAATAAGTGCGCCACCTAAGCCAGCACCACAACAACTTCCACAACCAACTTATATTCAACCAGGTGTACAATTACAATATACAATGGGTGCCCATGGACAACCATATGCAGCGCCATCCTATGCACCACAACCACCAGCAGCTGTTGGAGCTCCACAATACTACTACCCACAACAGCAACAACAACCAGGTATATATCCAGGTGCATATCCACAACAAGTTCCACAAGGATACGCCTATCCAACAACAGGATATACCTATGCCTACAGATATCCATCTTCATCTGGTTCCTCCTGTCACGGACACCACCATTGTCACTAAATCATATCATTTAAACAACATAAAACTTGCCTAACGAAATCATAATTATGATTATAATCATTTTTGTAATACTACATCATTTAAAATAATAATAAAATTATACAAATGTTGATCAAAAAATATGTGTGAATGTGAGGCATTGGTCTCGTTTCTTTTTTTTTTTTTTTTTTTTCACAAAAATGAATTTTTAAAAATTAAAAAAAAAAATGGAAAATAAAAAAATTCAAAAAAAAAAATTAAAAAAAAAATCATAGTGTCTCATTAACACACAACACACTCTTACGATCATCAATCAAAACAAAATATTATTATTCATTCCATTTTGGAGTTCGATTTATTTATTAGTTTAGATTAAATTTAGTTTAGTTTAGTTTCAGCTTTACGATAATAAAAAAAAAAACAAAATGTTTAAAAACTTTATTGGTAGAACATCAGGTTTGGTTAGATCATCGATGATCAACAACAACAACAGCTATATCACAAAGAGAACATTTGCAAGTGAAGGAGCAGCAGTCAACGCTGACGATCTCTTGTCATTCTCATTCATGGTACCACACCAAATTCTCTTCAAGAACAAGAAGGTCCAAATGCTCACATTGCCAGGTGCTCGTGGTGTCTTTGGTGTTCTCAAGAATCACATCCCAAAGATTGCAGAGTTGAAGCCAGGTGTTGTTCAAGTTCACCACGAGAGCGGTGACGTTGATAAATACTTTATCAGCGGTGGATTCGCTTTCATCAACCCAGATGCCTCATGCTATATCAACGCCGTCGAAGCCGTACCAGTCGACCAATTGGACGCAAACGAAGTCAAGAATGGTCTTGCTCGTTACACTCAACTCTACAACGAAGCATCCGACGAAGCTGCCAAGGCTACCGCTCTCATCGGTTTGGAGGCTCACCAACAGATGGCATATGCATGTGGTGTTTCTCTTTAAATTAATAACAACAACAATTAGCAACATTATCATTCATAATTATTTTATTAGTTTAATATTATTTCCAATCAAAAACATAGCACAACAAAACAACTACTCAACCAAACAACCAAATCACCAAATCACTAATTTTTTTCACCTTTATAAAATTAAATTTTAATTAATCTAATACAAACTACCTATATTATCACTTTATTTTTTCATTACATTACTTCAATATCACAAATACAAGACATATATAACATAGATAAGAGATGGTAGATCGTATCATCAATAACGATTTTGGTATTGACAGCATCACCGATGATAATCATTCTGAAAGATAGATGTGAACGTTTAGATAGTTTATTAACCAATAATAATATATTAAAATAAAATGAAAAAAAAATAAATAAAAATGTAAAATCATATATAATAACTTTTTGGAGTTTCACATTTTATTAGTATTGAAAAAAATAACAAAACTAAACATACTTTTTTTTTTTCCTGTACTTTAATTATCTTTACCAATTTTGTTCATTTTTAAGTTTTCACAACAAATCCAACTACCTTTATCAAATATTACATTTACAATTCAATATTTCCCAAATGTATTTATTTAGTGTTAAAGCAATCCCACTGGTGAGATCAAAAGTTACAGAAGCTAAAGAATCCACTTAAGATATTGGTAAAACAAAACTATTTTTTTTGCTTGAATTATAATTAAAAAAAAAAAAACTTTGTAATACAATAAACAAACTATTAAACATTACACATGTTTCTTTTTAATAATTAATTAAAAAAAAAAAAACAAATTTAAAGTTTTTTGTTGAAAGCGCGCCAAAAATTAATGATGTTAATTAATCACTTAGTTTTTGTTTTTTTTTTTTCTAAATAACTTTATTATTTTTTAAAATCGTTTAAAATTATATATATAAATATTAAGATAGATAGAGTATAGCTATCTTATAAAATCATTGTTTATTTAAAAAAGGTTTAAACTTTTTGTATCTTTTGTTTTTTTTTTTATATTATTTTTTCATGTTTTTAAAGTATATTATTTATTATTTTATAAATATAAAGATAGTATAGACAGATAACATATATATATAATAAAATAAAGAGAGATGGCAGATGAAGAAACACCATCTGGATCTATTGAAGATCGTATTTCTCATAAGAATTGGAGGTGGCGTGTTAGTGGGTTCGAAGAATTGACAATCAAGTTTAAGAATTCATTCGAAACCACTGGATCACTGTTCAATGAGCACGGTCCAAACTTTAAAAAGTATCTCTCTGATATCAACCCAATGGTACAAGAGAAAGTATTGGATACTCTTTCAGCATTTATAGATAGATGTGATGTTGTTAAAACGTAAGTTTTTAATATAGCTTACAATCAATCACAAAACACATAAACATTACTAACTTATCAACTATATTATCAACTATATTATTATTTAAAGATTTGCACCTTCATTTGTACCTACACTGGTAGAGAAATGTTTCTCTTCTACTCGTCCAAAGGTTAAGGATAAGACTGTTGATGTTCTCATTGCTACTATCGAAGCAGATTCACCCGAGCCAGTAATTGAGAATCTACTGAAGGGAACAACCAGCAGCTCACTCAAGGTATCGGTTGCATCACTTATCGCACTTAGAGAATCATTAAAGTAGGTACATCAACACATATCAACTTGAACTAAACTTACTAAACATCAAATTATTTTATATATATAGAACATTTGGACCAAAAGTTATAAATATAAAGAGTATAATGAAACAGTATCAACCATGGTTTGAAAACAGAGATAAGAATGTCAGAGAGGAAGCAAGTAACCTTATCGTCGAGGTATATCGATGGATGAAACAAGGATTATTACCATTGTTGGATAGTTTAACACCAATACAAGTATGATAAGCTATTATTCTTAATTTTTTTATTATTTAAATACTAATACCTCTATTAATAATAATAATTATTATTATTATATAGTTAAAAACATTAAATGAACAATTTGAAAAGTTACCAGGTGATCCTGCTGTTCCATTGAAATATATGAGATCTGAAGCTGCCAAAGCACAAGCTGCCGCTGCAAAGAGTGCTAGTAAGTTTAATTAATATGATTTTTTTTTTTAATTTTCGATACTTACAAATGTTTTATGATTATTTAGAAGGAGGAGCGGTAGTTGTTGAAGTTGAAGAAATCGATCCATATTCAATGATCGATGCAGTTAATATTCTATCAAAGATTGGACCAGAGTTCTACGAGGGTATGGAGTCAAAGAAGTGGCAAGAGCGTCAGGCTCAAGTCGATATGTTGGTAGATCTCTTGAATTCATCACCCAAGATTGAGAATGGTGATTTTAGAGAGTTGGTGAGCGTTCTCAAGAAGACACTGAGTGACACCAACGTCATGATTGTTACCAAGGCTATCGTTGCCATCGGACTCATGGGTGAGGGTCTACGTAATCACTTTACACAGTTTGTCAAGGGTATGGTCATTCCAATTATGGAGCGTTACAAAGAAAAGAAACCACAGGTTGTTCCAGCCGTACACACCACTATGAATCAACTGGTCAGTCGTTGTGTTGGAATCTCTGATATCATCGACGAACTTATTGCACTCATGGCAAACAAAGTTGCACAAATCAAGATTGAAACACTCAACTTCCTACACAAGGCAATGTCCACCACAAAGAAACCACAGGACATCACCAAAGTTGCCAAGCAGCTTGCCAAGTCGATGATGGACTGCTTGAATGACACCGCAGAGCCAGTGAGAGATGCTGCCGCCAAGACATTTGCATTGTTTTCCTCGATCATTGGTGAGCGTGGAATGGCTCCATACTTTAACCAGTTGGATCCAATCAAGTTGAAGAAAGTCAAGGACTTGATGCCAACTGCACCCACTCCAGTTGCGGCATCGGCAGGTGAGCCTGACGACGACGAGCCAGCTTCATCATCAAAGAAGCCTGCATCGAAATCATCAACCTCTGCAAAATCAACTACAACAACCACCACCACAACTACCGCTTCATATGGTGGTGGATTAGACGACCTCGCAGCCAAGCTGAGCAAGACTATTCCACGTGAGATCCTCAGTGGTCTTGAAAGTCAGAATCTAAACGATCGTGCCGACTCTACCAAGAAGATATTGGATATCGTTCAGTCCAGTGCAACTGATTGTGCCGATACATTGATACAATACCTCCAAGAGAAACCAGGTTGGAAGGAAGCCAACTTCCAGGTTATGAATAACATGCTGGCAATCATAGGACAGTTGGCCAACTCTGACTCTACTTTTACCAAACAGACAATTACCAATTGTGTTGGTCCCATCATTGAGAAGCTAACAGATGTCAAACTAAAAGACACTGCCAATTCAACTCTATCCTCCATATGCGAAGCTGTCTCACCACAAGTTGTATTCCAACTCATCTACCCGGTTGCCCTGAACAACAAGAATGCAAAGCTCACAGAATCAGCATTGGCATGGATGGCAGTCGCATTGGAGGAGTTTGGCGTTCAATGTTTCAACTATAAACCACTCTTTGATTTTTTGAAGGGTTGTTTAGAGTCGATCTCCACACCAGTAAAGACCTCTGCCATCAAGGTTCTTTGTGTACTTCGTATTGCAATTGGATCAGCGGTATTCGACTATGTTGCTGATATTAAGCGTCAGATCCTCGACACTATCGATAAGGAGTTCAGTAAGATCAAAGATCAGCGTCCACCAGCTGCATCACGTCAATCGCGTGTAGAAAATGAAATCCCTAGAACCGACATCAGCTCGAAACTAGGTGGTATCATCCTTACAAATTTGAGTGATAATGATTGGAAACAACGTCAAGCTGCACTCGAAGAGATTGAGCGTTTTGTTGTTGACGCCAATCTTAAACTCCAACCAAAGTTGGGTAACCTTGTCAGTTGTCTAGCCAAGGGATCTCTCACCGATAAGAACCAAAAAGTTATCACGACTACTTTGACATTAATTAATATGTTGACAACAGCCGTTGGTCCATCGTTTGACAAATCCGCCAAAATGCTATTACCAGGTGTCCTGGCGCTATTGGCCGACGCCAAGAAACCACTCCGTGATTCCGCACTCGCCACCATGACTATTATTGCCGAGGAACTTGGTACTGACATTGTTTTGCCTGCACTTGCTACTCTCTTGCTCCAAGAATCTGCAACCAGTCGTAAGGATGCACTAACTTGGGCAGTCGCCAACGTCGGTAATGCAAAGTCGACACCAGAGATGACGCAACTGGCCAAACCAATTATTGCCTGTCTCCAAGACAAGAATGCCGAGGTACGTGCCAACTCTGAACAACTGCTCTCTATCATCGCCAGTGTCGTTCCAGCCGATGCTTTCAAGAAGGAAATGAGAGATGTCAAACCAGCCAATCAACCAAATATGCAAGCAATCATCGATCGCCATTATATTTCCACCAAGAAAGCTGGCGCTGCCGCAGCTGTTGCCAAACAGCCAGTAGCTAAGCTGTCGCCATCACGTACTTCCACTGGAAAGAGCAATACTACCACCACTACCACAAATAACTCACCATCGAGAATCTCCACAACAAAACTACAATCTCCACAACCTGTCGTTGAACCATCTGGTGACATTATACTTTACGATGCAGCTGGCAAAGCCACCAGACAAAAGGCAAGTCAAGGACAATCATTCTACATCCAAGAGACCGAAGAAATAGTTGAGTTCCTCCAGGAGCAAGTTTGTCAGTGTTTCAGTGAGGAGTTTGCCAACATGATGTTCTCTGCCAATCCAACCCACCAACAGCAAGTCGTAGATCTTCTGGCATCCATTGATTCCGAGAACTTTGATTTACTTGCCAGTGTTTTAGACGTCGTATTCAAATGGTGCTCGTTCAAGCTATTCGACGTCGGTGCATCTTCACTCAGACGTACCACCAAATTGATTGAAATTGTCGCCTCCAACATGAAGGAATTGGAATACTATCTCAGTGACTATGAAGCTGGATGCATAGTTCCGGTCATCTCTGAAAAACTGGGAACATCCAACGAAACATTCAAACAAATGTTACGTCCATGTCAAAGAATACTTTCCGAAGTGACACCTCCCAATTCTTTCTTTAAGTACACATTGGAAACCACCGCCAAAACCAACAATTGGCGAACTAGAGTCGAAGGTATCACTGAAATGGGCAACATTATTAATCAACATGGTCCAGCGGTTGCTGGAAATCAACTAAAACCGGTAGTTGCTGTCATGGCTAAAGTTCTGAGCGATCGCGATCCCGCCCAGAAGCAAGCCGCCATCAATTCACTCTCCCAATTGCATGCGCACATCGGAGATGAAATCTGGAAATATCTTACCGTTCTCAGTCCAGCCGATCGCCAACAACTCGAACAGATTTTCGGACAATCCAATCAATCTCCCAACAGATCACAGCACCAATCACAAATGCAATCAGCGAGTGGCTCATCAGATGACGAAGAGACCAATATTATCATCGAGTATTTGGAGTTGCTTAAGAACTTCTCAGAGCAAACAATCGATACTGTTGTGGAGCTGCTCAAGATGCTATCGAATCTCATAGCCGGTACACAATCCACCACCTTTGCCGAGAAATTTTTGTATTATAATGAAGAGTATCAAATGGTACTTACTACCATTCTCACCAGTATTTTCCCACGTGTATTCAACGACCAATCTATCTTTAGATTGTGTAAATATCTAATACATACCATCATCACCATCTATTCCCACGATCTCATTGCTAAAAAGTCATCGGTGCGTGCACTTCAATCAGTCTTACGCGAGTCCATCACTCTGCTGGTGAGCCAGCCAAGTTTGCCACAGAAACAAGACGATCTCGATTGGGTTACCAAAGCACTCAACCAAGTGTTACTACGTACTCTCCAAAAGAGTGATCCAACTACCTTGTTCTCTGTTCTACTGAGAATGATCACAGAGACTCGTGTTACCGATCAAAAGAATGACAAGTACAACGACCTGTTACTGCGTTGTCTGCTTCGTGCCACCAAGTCTTTGAAGGGTGCCAACTCTCCAATAGAAATCGACATGGGTGTTGTACTCTTGGAGATCAGCAACTACGAGAGAACACCAGGTCCAGATGATTCAACTAAAAAGACAACAAGGACACTCACTGCCGAACTTATCAATATCAATCAAGCGCAAGTAGTTCAGTTCTGCAAGAAGTTGGTCGCCTCCAACCAATCACAACAACACTCCCAACTGTTTGCGCTACTTGAAGATCTTATGGGTGGAAAAGCAACTTTTGAAAAATTGGTTGGTGTACCACAGTCACGTGGCGAGCAGGTCACTGTCAAGTCAGTCAAACCCAAACAACAACAACAACAACCACAACCTGTCCATGAGGAGCTAGATATTGCACAACTTGGAGTAGCACCACTGGCAACTCCAGAGATTCTTCAACAACCCAATTTGACCATTCCAAAGATTGCTCCTGCACCAACCAAGACTACTTCAACTCTCGACCAGCAGATGTCAACCGTAGACAAGTCACCACGCAACTACACATGCTCCTCTACACTCGAAAAGAAGGATCTGCTACAAGACATCTTTAAGAAGGTAGGCAACAAAGAGAGGACCACCGAAGGATTGTACGACCTTTACTATTTCAAGAAGCAATATCCCGACTACGATATCTCCCACAACCTCAGCCAGACAACACTCCCATTCCAGAGCTACATCACAAGAAACCTTCAAAAGATAGCGACCGAACTCGAATCCAACAAAACAAAAGAAGCACCGGAACAGGCTGTCAACTACCACGAGAAACTCAGAGACATACAAAACACAATGCATCACCAACAACAACAGCAACTCGATGACAGCACTGGAAGCAGCAATAGCTCAATGAAAGAGTCGAACCAACTGACAGCATCTGCAGCACTCAATACACTGCAAAGACTACGTGGTTACACCAATCAAAACAACAACAACACTGCCAGTGACAGTAATGCGCCAACAACGACCACCACCACATTACCAAGCACAACATCGAGGACGACCACCTCGACCACCACTGGTACAGGTGCCACCGGTTCACAAGATTTAACAGCAACAGTAGCATCTTTAAGACAACGATTAGCACACATCAAAGAAACATCAAGATCCAATGAATAATCATTCATTTTGGATTGTTAAAAATTGATTTGAATAAAATAACTATACATATATTTTACATTTAAAAAAAAAAAAAAACAAAACAACTATTCTTTTAATTATTTACATTTTATTTAGTACTATCAGACATTACAGTATCTTTAGTTTGTGATTCTGTATCACCCATTATTCTTGTTTTAACTGCAGTTCTAATGTATGCTAAAATTCTCTCACATGAAGATCTTGCCAATTGTAAAGCTTCTTGATTCTGTTGTTCTGTAATAATACCCGATGACTTTATCATCATTAATTTTAATTGACTATTAAATGCGTATATAGCTGTTGCTTTTGATTCCTTTAATAGAATATTAAGAATAAATATAATGATTGATTTCAATAACCTAAGTTATATTTACTTACATTTTCTTCTTTCATTGTTGGATCTAAATAGATTTGACCATCGCTATTAAAAGATAGTGAGATTGATGCTATCAATGAGTTCAACTCGATACCGGCATCCAGTAGTGCCAAGCATGCTGCGTTGATCGAACAACTTACGATCGATCCATCAGTCGAATATACCTGTATGATGATGCTTATGAGTGTACGAGGGTGCAACATTGTCATAATGACACTCTCTATTGCATTTCTAATGAGTGACTCTTGCTCTTTGGTTTGATAATTCTGATTTCCGCTGTCTGGTGTGAATACAACCTCGACAGTAGCTTTCGATATCTTTTCTTTTCTTGGATTCACTTCGACTGGTCCATATATAGCAGCTAGTACCGATGAATTATCTATTTAATAATAGCGATGCGATATGATAAGTATAAGATTCGGTTGATCAATCATCAAACAAACAGATTGTTTATTACCCAAAGAGAATTTGGCAGAACCATCTGCTTTATTTAGTAATGCCAACTCTGATTCAATCGATCTGATTTGATTGTTATTTCTTTTATCAATTCTAACCATTTTCAATATGTAATAATAAATTAAATGATCAACCAAAATGATATTCGAGACCAAAAATAAATAAAAGACGAAAGAAAATTAACGAATTATTTTTATTAATTTTTAATTATTTCTATTTCCATTTTTTTTTTTTTAGATTAGTTTTAAAAAGAGAGATTTAATTGGGAGAGAAAACTAAATGATCTTTGTTTATCTGATGATTGAATAATATTTTTTTTTTTGAAATCAATGGTATTGCTCCCAGGAGAAGAAGATATTTAATCATTCAAAATCAAAGGTATAAAGGATAATTGATTTATTTTTTTTTTTTTTGATCATATCTTTTCTTTTTTTAAAATGATCATAGGGGCAACGGAGTGATTCGGAATATAAAAAATTGTTTTTGAAAAAAATCATTCTAACTAAAGTTTGTTTAAAACTGATACAAAAAAACAACTAAAGCTACCAAAGGGGTAATAATGTTTTTCGAAAATTTTTGTGAAAAGTTCTTATGACTTTTACTTTTAATGCAAAAATTCGTTTAAATATTGTGGCTGGTAGAAAGAGTGGTGACTGCGATTTTTTTACAAACTGCATAAAAAAAAAAAAAGGTTGAGCATTTCATTGCGAGTAAGAGAATTGAGTGGAAAAAGGCGATTTTGATTCTCTAAAAAAAAAATATTAAAAAAAAATATTAAAAAAAAACAAAAGTAATTGTTTATTTTGTATTTTTTTCTTTTTTTTGTGTCCTTTGATTTTATTTATTTATTTATATCACAATTTAAATATACATATACTTTTTTCTCATACACCATTACATTTCACTCTACTTAGTACTCTCCTAATTTTTGAAAAAAAAAAATAAACATCGTTATCCCCACCCACTTCAACTTTTACAATTAAATTTCAAAATCAAAACAGAGCTTGTATTTACACAATTTTTTTTTTAAAATCTATTACTTTTTGTTATATTTTTTTACAAAGCAAAGATAAATCACTTTTTTATTTATTTAGTATTAATAATCAGTTAAAATGGTAAGTTGAATAAAAAAAAAATAGCAATGATTAAATTGACTATTTATTTATTGAATGATTTACCTCTTGATCAATGAATAAATCATTTTCAAAAAAGAAATATAAACTAATTATATTTATATTTTTCTTTTTTTAAAAGGCAACAACAGCAGGTGACGATGATTACACAGAATACTTGTATAAGATTTTGGTAGTAGGTGACATTGGTACTGGTAAGACTTCGATTATTAAGCGATTCGTACATAATATCTTCTCTATGCATTATAAATCAACTGTATGTTTCCAATGATATAACTTTTAAGTATATGTAGCGTGGTTGTGGTTTTTATACTTTTTTTTTATTTAATAACAATCTTTTATTTAATATTAATATTAAATATAATATTTTTAATCTATATCTATATATTATAGATTGGTGTAGATTTTGCACTTAAAGTGATTAATTGGGATCCAAAGACAGAGGTTAGATTACAGCTTTGGGATATTGCTGGTCAAGAGAGATTCGGTAGTATGACCCGTGTTTATTATAAAGAGGCAGTTGGTGCCATGATCACATTCGATGTCACTCGTGCTTCCACTTTTGAAGCCGTTTCCAAGTGGAAGGCCGATATAGATTCAAAGGTCACCATTGGTCCAGAGGAGAAACCAATTCCAGTAGTTTTATTAGCTAACAAAGTAAGTTTATAATTTATAAACTTTTTTATTTTTCAATAATTTTAATATTAATCATCATCATCGGTAATAATAGTGTGATCTTGGTAAAGAAGGATTTATAAAGACAGCAAATGAAATGGATAAATACTGTAAAGATAATGGTTTCATTGGTTGGTTTGAAACTAGCGCCAAAGAGAATTTGAATATTGAAAAGGCAGCTCGTTTCTTGGTTGAACATATCTTAAAGATGGATATTAGAAGAAATCAACCAAAAGGTATCGTCCACCCAGGTGAAGAACCCGCTCCACCAGCAGCTTCTGGTGGATGTTGCAATAAATAAATTTTCTGATTTTCAATAAACAAAAAAAAAAAAACAATACTAAAATAATAATCAATAATATAGTTTAGCCAGATCATTTTCCCCACCCTCCCCACTCAACAACAAGCTAATCAATCAATCAAACAATCAAATCATATAATTGAAACATAATCAATCACCGCACCCCACCAACCAAAATTGTTAATGTAATTTTTAGAACAACCAAAAACCAATAGTTTATTGGAGAATCTAATCTCCTTAAGTAATAATAATAATAGTAATACACTTAATCTAAATTTATTGAAGATATTTAAAAAGAATATAGATTATAACAATATATAAATAAAATTCAAATACTGTTTTAAAACAACTCTCTTTTCAAACGCCCAAGAATATTCCTTTCCCACTACTTTGCTGATCTTTCTTTTATAAATACATAACATATATTTTATTGTTCTTCTTTTTCAAAACTATTTTCTTATAATTATCCTGCTTTGAACAATAATACTGAATGTTGTCCGACGATATAATAAAGATAGTTCTTTGTTTCATGTGTCACAAATGAACCAAAACTCTTTCCTACAATACAATGCCATGTTGGTGTATATTTCTTGTCAAACTCTATAAAATAGAGAATCATTAGTATACCAATGATGAAAGAACAATGTGATTCACATTTGCATCTTATGTTTTACCTTTTTTGATGGTCATAGCAATTTCTTTTTCCACTGTATGTTCTTCAAATGCTTTGGCAGTGATTTCAATTGCATCGGTTTGCATAAAATCTATAATATAGCATGTTGTGTGAGATTCAATTAAATATTTTATGAAAATGTGTAGGGTGATTGGTTAGATTCACAAGTTTCTCTTTTGCTCGATATTATCAATCTAATGAAACAAACCTGGCATATCAGCAATCTTAATCTGTATTAACTTTTTATCTATAGTTGTCATTGTCTTTTAAATAAACTAAACACTTGTAATATATAATATATCTTAATTATAACCTTTTAAGTCAATGAAACAAAAAAAAAAAAAAAAAAATGATCACAACCTTTTTTTAAAAATTTGTTTTTTGATCATCATTTTTTAAAAACTATTTATTTATTTAGTTTTTTTATATATATATAATAAATAAGAATGAATAGATCATTGTCTCTTATTATATGTACTATTGGTATAGCTTTACTTGCACATTCAGTTTTATCTGCATTACAACGTATGTAGTAAATAACTCTATAGATCTGATCTTTTTTTCTAATGCTCAATATTATAGATAGAAGTTATCTTAGATTGACAAATAAATCATTTGAACATATACCATATGATGTAAGTAATTTGTTAACTAATTAATTAATGTTATCAATATATTAAACGTATTTTGTATACAGATTGCATTAGAATCAATAGTTGCACTTTTAGTATCGTCATGGGGAATAATTAATTTAGCACCAAAGTTAATTCCAATTAAAGCTACTCATCATCTATCAAAGAGGTATAGATTAATTTAGTATTGAGATAAACCAATTTATTACTAACTATTTTTTTATTTTTGATAGATCTTATGAATCCATAGACTACAGACCAGATTTTATTCAATTCAATAATAGAGCGAGATATTTATCAGATTTACTGGCAGAACCAGTAATTGAGTAATCTTTGGATTGTAAATAATAAACATACTAGAAAACGAATATATAAAAAATCAATATTTTAAAATGTAAAACAAATCAATATTTCATTATGTAAAACAGGTTATACTCTCATTAGGCATATTAAGTTGCACAACTTTGAGGGTAGAATCAAAAAAAAATTATTAAAATCAATCAAATTTATCTTTTATTAAATTGTTCAACTTTCTTTTGCTAAAATTTAAAGTTAATCCATTTTAAAGCAATAAATTTAGTTGTTGTTCAAAACAAATTTTTTTCTTTATTTTATTTTTATTTCTTTGAATATGTAAGCAATATTCGAACAGATATTTCATTCATAAAAGTGTCGTACCTGCAGATAACATGCTCCAATGGTTCTCACCCAATAAACCAGCCGAGTATCCCAATCAAATTGAGAGTCGAAACTAATTTGGGTTGTCAAGTTTAGGTGAAGAGTAAATTAGTAAGAGAAAATTTATATCATAAGGCTTTTTTGATTTGATATTATGGTTGTTCGTTTTTTTGAAAAAAAAAAAAAAAATCGAAAGAAGCCTCTTCACCGAAACTTGACAACCTAAAAAAATCTTTTGAAATAGCAACACGTTCGTTCGTTTTTTATTTTATCAAATAAAAAAATAAAAAATAAAAATAAAATAAATGTTAAATAATAATATGAGAGTTATTATAACTAATGGTCCAAGTGGAGCTGTCGAATTTGCAATTTCATTTTCTTCTTCACTTTTCTTCTCATATATTCTTTATCCAACTTCTGTCTCACTTTCAACTAACTTCTTATTCTCTTTCAACCAACCTTCTAGCCTTACTTTCAGAGCTGAGCTTCTCTTACATTCATCATTTGGTTTTTTAAACATCTTTTCTCCAAACAACTATTTGCCTTAAGCTCAAAAGTTTCATTTGTTCATCCAATTCTATTATATTCAATTTCATACAAAGATTCAATTATATAGCTGATAATAGATCTCCTGTTTGTTGCCACGATACTCTATCTTTGTATTTAAATTATTGTTTTCTCTATTAAATGCATTTTCTGCATCTTTATTGCTCCCAAAGTGATTTCATTTCATCTGTCATCTTGCTTACTCTTCTACTATAATCGGTTCTGATTGAAGCTATGTTAGATAGGTCCTTTGATTGATGAGCGGTTTTTCTAAAACGGTATCGTGGATCAAACGAATATGCTTGATAAAAATAGGTGTTGGTGGATTACATTTGGAGATATTATAGAGGTTGAGGCATGGTACTGTGTTGGTATCAGAGTATTCTCTATTATGTTTATTTCGACGATCTAAACCCTTAGCTAGTATTTCGGACAATACTCACTTCTAAGAATCTTTGCCATCTATATTATAAGCTTAACTGTCACACCTTTAATTCAGCTTTCTTTGATATGTTCATTATCCTTTAAATCTTAGATAAGTTGATTATTATTATAGTTATTGTTAATACCACTCTTACTACTCTCTAATTACTACTATACTCATTGTCATTTTATTGGAATTCAAATAATAATAAAATGACAATGAGTATTAAGTTTTTGTTGATTGACAAGTTTCAAAAACGTTTTGTCAACCGGTTTGTTTCAAATAACAAATAATTTATTATGGAGTGAATTTTCCTTATTTATTGAAAGAAAGAAAGAAAGAAAGAAAGAAAGAAAGAAAGAATGGATGAAAGGAAGAATGAAAGTGAATTAGGTGCTAATTCACTGCAGTGCAAATAAATAGAAATATAGTGTAAGAATATAAATATGTAAAGCGTTGACAGCACAATGTGCACTGGACTAATACAGTACTTATATTGTATTACCTATATCTATTTATTTATAGAATGATACATACCATATAAACAAATTAAAGGCAAAACTAACCTATACTTTTTTGGAGAAAAAAAAATAAATTTGAATTAGTTATCTTGAATATACTTGATTATTTACCCACTCCCTGCACTGAGTGTGCCCCTGGTAATCCATTCTATTATTATTCACGACTATCATATCAAAATGGAGAAAATCTACATGATAACCGGGTGGCTCGTTCGATGCACCTTTATTGTTGTTACTCAACAATATTTTTCTATTTAAAACAAAAAAGTTAATAAGTAAGAATGTTTATCCAAATAGATTTTTCAATTACATACATTTTATTTTTAAAGATTGTAGCTGAGTCGATATAATAACTTGACCACCTTAGTTAGAAATATTGACTAGTCGGCCCTTTATATATTCTAAAGTGGTGCATTTTAAAATATATAGTTTTATAGTGTGCCTACCCTATAATGCCGGATTGGTCTGTATCAAATAAGTTAGTAAAACATTAATTGAATAATGTATACTAGACATTATTGAGTGACAGCCAGATGGGAGTCTTCATCTTTTACATTCGGTAATACCAGAATAATTTGTCGTAGGCATACAAAATTATCTGATATGTTGAACATAAATTAATGACATACGAAATATAATAAAGAAGTAAATAAAATTTATATTAATAAAATTATATGCGTATACCTTTATTGGACTATTCTCTTGATTAAAAATACAAATAAAATCTAGAAAGATCACATTCTTTGTATGAATTGACCTATGTATAATAGAATGAATTAGTTAAGTACATTCACAACTGCTCAGCTGCTATATAAGGAACTTATACTTACAATGAACTAAAACATAATATAAAACAAAATTTACTACTACCAAATCAATATGCTTCAACATTCAAACACTCCAGATAATAAATCAGGTTGAAAGCGTTATTCTAAAATAATATAGCAAAGTGCTCACATGTTGAATTGTGTTTTTGTTAATAATCAAACCTTATTCAATGTTGAAATAAATTTGATTTGAAATGTACTAGACCAGACTCCCATCCGAACATATACATAGCTTCATCAAACCCATAACAACAAATGAAAAAATAGGCGAATTGATTGCAAGATTCTTTACACACTACTGCATATACTATTTCAAAACAAGCAATCAAAAATTATTGAATAATTATGATCCACTAAAGATATGTCAAAGAAATAAAAATTAGTAATCTGTATTCATTAAAATAAAACAATTATATACTTACACTATCTTTTATGCCTAAACATCTCCACATACCAAAAAGATTATAATAAAATTTGAATTATAAAAATGATTTTAAAACATTTCCAATCATATTTTGAATTGGTCTTATTACCAGGTTTGATAATGGGTTCTTAATGAGTAGAGTGGAGAAGAGCTGTCCATAGTCCGCTATGGCTGTGAGGCATGGAATTCTTATAATAAGTTCTCGTAGAGATGGCCAATTGGATAAGAAGTCACCGGCATTGTTCATGTTTTCGTCTTCTTCTGCGGTATTCAACTGGTCCTTGATCTTTTCATATGGAATACAGAATCGATCTCCATTGCATCGTCAGTTTCCTCAACTTGTTCCATGATAGGATCTTCATGTGATGTCATTTCTACATCATTTGATGCTGCTGCTTCTGACTGTGGTGGAGATTGTTGTTGCAGTGTTTGTGAAAGTTGTTGTAAATAGTTGATTTGTTGTTGTTGTTGTCTATAATCTTGAATCTGCGAGTTGTAATTGTTATCGATTTCAAAGAT